GATGCATTCTCTTTCAGACTAAACCCCAGGAAGTGAAAGTTTTAAGACGATAGACAAAAGAGTATTTTTTTTCTTTTATCTTGATAGGATAAAGTTTCTATCAGATAATTCTAAGGTTAGCAACTATGAAAATAAGTATAGATAGTTTAAAAAACTTAATTATACCATACTATAGCTGTTTAACAACAAATAATTCAATATTACTTTGCTGTGGATATCAATGTTGTATTCTTATTAATTATAATTGTTATACAAATATTGGAAAATTTATATATAACATTTATTTAACACTTATGAGACTCATTGTTATCTAAATGGGTATTGATGATTTAATTTAATGAATCAATAAAAAGCAGAATTTGTGCCTAGGAGAATACAATTTAACTTTTATCACAAATATTTGAGATGAAGGTGTTGTCCGAAAGATATTAAGTATAGCTAAGATGTTTGCATTCTTCAACTATTGCAAATCAAACAAATGGGGAGCTGTCTTTGCAAGTTATTTCATAATTAAAATCAATCACAAAGAAATTCAATTCCATATATTTCTCTAAATCTTGTTTACTTGAATCTTACTAATAAAGAACACAGTTTAATTTATCTTTAATTTAAATCAGATAACAAATTAGCAAATTAAGTACTGCACTTCTTAATTGTTTCTTGTCAGGTGGTATTCAAACTTGCAAAATGTTTACCCACCTGGGTGAGATTTCTGCAAAGTGAGAAATAGACTTTCCACTTTATTATAAATACTGAAATAGTTGCCTCTTTTTTGTTTTGGTCATTACCACTGTGTTATGCATTTTAATATCATGAATTTCAACCTTTTTGTTGTAAAACACTGGTGGATTTAATTTAGGAAATGTTATTTATTTTCATATACAAAAGTATCCTGCACTCACATGCATTCATGTACATTCTAACATTTTTTTCTTATCAGAGATGACAAGTATAACAACTAACTGGTTATGATATATGTTGTATATGAAAATGCCATAGTCCACATATATTATAGTGGTGAAAATGTTTTAAAAAAGACTACTGAAACATATACAGTCATACTTTATTATCAGTATTATCAATTTTCCAGTTTTAAAGATGAATACCCTGAAACTCAAAAACACTAAATAACTTTATTGATGTCGTATGACAGGAAAAGGGGTTAAAACAGAATTTTCTGTCTTTTTTTTTTTCTTTTTGGTACCAGGGATCAATCTCATGACCTTGCGTTTGCTAGGCAGGCGCTTACACCACTGAGCTAAATCCCAGGCCAAAACAGAATATTTTAAAGAGCTAGCCATAAAAACTTTAAGAGAATCAAAAAATTTTTTTCGAAGTCATTATGAAGCATGAATGACTAATAATTTTAAGTAATCAAGCGCAATTTTTCAAGTTATTATCAATAAACATCAATTTTGGTCAACATTTATAATATGTTTAGTAATGGAACAATATGCTTAATTAGATTTTTTGGATCCTGTAAATTTTCATTCTCTATAACAGTGTATAAGCTAAGTCAACTTTTAAAAGGATATATACATATATATATATATATATATATATATATATATATGCATGTATGTGTGTGTATGTGTGTAATGATTCTAATTTTTAAAAACTGTGGTAAGAACACTCAGCATAAGATATACTTGCTGAAAACATTTTAGGTCTAAATTAATGCTGTTAATTGACTATAGCTATAGTTTTGTACAACAGTTCTACAGGGCTATCTTCTGTATCAGAAACTTCATCATTTAATCAGAAAAATATTTCAACATAGTAACAATGATTATGTATGGGTGGTGTGGCCACTAACAATTGCTCTTTTCATTAATATTCTTTTTGTTTTTTTTTCTGTAGCTTTTGTTTGGTTATTTGTCATATTAATATTCTTATCCATTATTGAGTTTTTTGTTTCACGATTTAAAACAAAAGTGCTGGAAACTTACCAAAGCAAAACGAGAGGCCTTTCTTTGTGTCTTGTCATCCAGAGAAACCACCATGGATTAAGAGGTTCTTAATGCAGAGCCTACTCTGTACCTCAGTGACAGATGACCTCACTTAGAAATAGCCATTGACAAATGGCATTCAAATGTCCATAAGGAATTTAGATGTCCTTTCTTACGGCTTAATCAGTTATGTCTACATAGAATCTATTGAAAATGGCAGAGACTGGAAGGCACTAGTCAAGAAAGGGAATATGGATTCTGCATAGTTTTCATTAGTACACGGTGAAGAAAGCTTTAGTCCAGGAGGATTCTGGCGTGACAAGACGTCCCTGTCTAGGCAAGTAGATCTGTCAAGCAAGTGAAGAGACTGGATACCTTCCAGTCACTCTTGCGTACTATGAGACCGAGGACCCAGATTGAGAGAGGGAGAGGATCTCATGGAAGTGTGTCAGCATCGAGCAAGGCTCAAACCAATGGGTTTGGAGTTTCAGAGCAGAATAGTAGTCCTTGTGAAAAAGCAGTGGGGATAAAGACAATCCTGGCTCGCAGGACAATGAGTTTCGGTTGCACAACAAAACCATCTGTGGGTTATCTCAAGTAAGGCACATTAGCGGGGCAGGCTGGCAGCCAAAACAAGCCAGAATCTAGAACTGAGCCTGGAATAGCACTGATGAACCCTAGTGCTATGAGTGGCTCTGAATAGGAAGGACTTACTTTGCTTTATTGCCTGGAGTCCTTCCCTTATTTACAAGTTTCTGAGATGGGAGTTTGTGTTGCATTGCTGGCTGAGGTTTGAGAGGTTTAAACTGGTGCTTTTACTCATTCTAGGAGAAGTTACCAGTAGGTGACAAAGTGAAGCCGGTGATGTGAAATAATGGAGGTGGCAAGCAGGCCAGCGCCCTGTCGCATGAAGAGCAAACATGAGAAAGGCAGGAGAGCCTATTCAAAAGCTGTATTCATTTCATGAGGAAAAGAAACCAATGGGTTTTGAGCTGGATTTAGGAACTGAACATTTTCTAAAACTAACGTGAATGGAGTTATTTATAATCTTATGCACTGTTTCAGGTGCACTTTGTGTGTAATTTAATAATCCTGGAGATTAAATGTTACAGTCTCAAATTTACAGAAAAGAAATCCAGGGTCAGGGAACAGGTAAGGTCACACAACAGGCAGGTGCACGGCTGTGTCCATATTTCAACCCGTTCTCCTTCTTTTCCAAACCTGGCCCTTTGCAGGAGAGGAGATTACAGAACTGAGAAAGAATGTGGTATTTACTAGCATCCAAATCACCTGGGTAATTTTCAGTTTCTGGAAAAAATGAGGTGGACAAGTTGAGAATGGAAGGAAGCCTTTTATAAGAGTGTCTATTAAAAATAGCTGCATTAAAATATTTTTAGACAGGTTTGTATGCAAGGGAGGGGAAGTGGGAAAAAAGGAGAAGAGGAAGAGAGAGAGGGAGAAGCAGGGCAGAGGTACAATTCAGTCTTCACACGGCACTGGGAAGGGGTCAGGGAAATGCTATCTGTGTTCCTCAAACACTCGTAAAGTGTGGCACAGGAAGGACAAAGAGAGCCTTCATCAGTCAAGTAAAGATAATGTTTTCACTACTTTAATGTCCAGCAGCACAGTTGAGGTGGGAATCAATTTACCAACTATTGTAGACAAGGTCTTGCACATTTGAAAGACAGACTTGTTTTTGTTCTCTAGGAGAGAGGGTTGATGTTAGTCTACAGTGTCTCCAAATTATATTTGAAACAAGTATTTATTTCATTCTCTGAGCCTTTACTAATTCTTTGCCAGAATCTTACATTTGCCCTTGGGCTTTCTGGGAGATAAGCTTATTTCAGCTCGCATTTAATTCTCCTGGATCGGCTTTACTGGGGGAAGATAGAAGACACCAACTGAAGTTTTGAATGGATTTTTCAGCCTTCTGACTGCTTGACTTTTATATAAAGTGAGAAATAGACTCAACACTAGCTGTGGCCTTCTAAGATAATCTAATAGAGAAAATCTGCAGAGAGGTTGGAGAATGACTTTGTAATATTAAGGGAAGGGAAGTATTCCACTGTGTATGGCCCTGAACCAAATAGGTAAAGATGGTTTCATGACTAGACATGATATTTTTCATCCCCTCATCGCAAATATAATGTCATAGAGACCCTTTTGATATATGTTGAAGAACCTCAGTGTGTAACTCACTTTGTTCAGCATTTTGCCTCAACTTTCTGAGTTCTGTGTGCTACAGTGCTTCTCCATCTGGAGCTTCATTTTGTCAGATGTAATTGTAAACTTTCTTGTTATCTATGGGAAGAGTGACACAGTTGCCTGTGTACAGCTCAGTGGATATGCAGACATGTTCATAAATTGATGAAAACGGATAGCTTTACAAAATAAACTAGTTTTTCAACCTGGGTAGAGTGATGGGTTTATGCAGGAATCATCCAAAGACCCTAACATTTTGCAGTGAAATACAGGGAGCCTTAGAATGGCTAGATTAGTCAGAAATCACCTGAACTTACTCCAAGTGAGGCAGCTCATGAAATGCAACAGAGAATATGCAGTACCCTGAGTGGACTTCCTTGTCCTGCTTTAAAAGAAATTCTGAATCTCAGTGACAAATAATTCTCATACACACTAAAATGTTGATTATAGAGTATAAGAAGTAGAAAAGAAAAAGTATAATGTAAGATACTTGTTTAGAACCTGACTTAAACTAACTGAAAAGTGACATTTTAAAAATAATTAGAGAAATTTCAATAGTGACTGAATGTCACTTGCTATTAGACGTTGATTTTGTGTAAAGTGGAAGGAAGGAATGATAGTATACAATCAAACTAACAAAGAAGATAATAAATAAATTCCTTATCAATAAGAGCTTTATTGGCAGGAAAGATAATTTAAAGTAATTCATTGATTAATAAATAGTAAATAATGTGGAGGGAATAAATGAAACAAGACGCAAATATAGCTTTACTTTTCTATATGCTTGAAAATGTGCATAATAAAACATCAAAACATAATAAAACATTAAGAACTTTCATTTTTTTTAAGTGTCCACTGCTCACAAAGACCTGTGGCCTCTTCTCAAGGAGAACAAACCAAGGGATCAAGAATCAAATACAGAAGCGTGGCTCTGATGAAGTAAATTTTCACTCTTCTGACAGTATGTAATCACTGTGACCTGATTAGTATTGTAAATGAATATACATTGATAGTTTTGTAATAAAATTTTATTAGACTAAACCAGTATCAGGAAATATTTAAAATGCTGAAGAGAAAAATATTACTAAGTTTGTGAATTTTGTTTTTAAGTTTTAGATTATGACTGTCACCTAAGATTACTGTTCCTATGTTTTACCAGCTGACTTCAGATATTTAATAACAAGCCTGAAGGACATTTATATAGATATCATGTTGAATTTTTTTCATCAAAGCAACCTGGCTTCCCAAATAAGAGATGCCTCTAATGAAATCAATGCATATCTTATTCTATACTCTCTTTCTCTTTCTATTATAATTCCCATGTTTGTTTTCTAAATGTTTACTCTCTCACCTGTGGCAAATTCACATTTTATATCTGAGTTCCTGCTGGTACGTATCATATGTTGACAATGTTCAGTAGTGTGTGCAGTATACAAATAGCATCATATAGATGAGACAAAGAAAATAGCTCCATCAACATATTCAAAATTTAATATCACAGCGACTGATTTTTTTCCTAGCTACATTAAGGAACTCAGAGAGTTAGGGGGATGAAGGCAGGAAGACCAGGACTAAGAAAGGAAGGCAGAGTTGCGAGGAAGCTACGCTATCGTACTAGACAGACACATGAATGACAGAAGGAAAGAACACAGCAAGACCTTTCTTCAAACAGAATGTGTATGAAAAAGCTCATTCAAGCTAGTCATCTGACACACACAAACAAAAGTAGCTGCCACTAGAGAGATATAGTAGCTTACTGGAGATTGAAGTTCTGAAAGCTTTGTAAAATTATCCCTCATCTTTCTGTCACCCTAAGTTCAGCTCATACTTTGTTGGTGGATCAGCCATTTGCTGAGACACTATGTCTATGAGGAATTGGAGCGAATGCTTCTGTGGTCACCACCTAAGGGGAGAGATGCTTGTAATTTCTGAAACCGTCTGGTCAAAGGTCTTAATCAGTCTATTTTTTTCCAAGGTACATATGGTGCCCTTTAATCCCTGGAGGCCTTTTAGGAGAGACCTCAAAAAATCAAAAGGTCACTGCTGTAGTCTGAATCAATTCAATAGAAAATTTCTGGAGAGGTCAGCTTTCCTCTAGTTTTCTTGGAATTAGTGTCTTTTTCTTACACTGAGTATAAAACACCCATAAGCCATTAACGGAAGAAAGAGTTGAGTACTTAGCCTTGACCCATGTCTTATTAGGGGTCACCTCCCAAGTGTTAAATCCCCAAAATTAATTACTCAGAACACACAGAAGTCTTTATAAATTCCTTGTGAATACCTAAAATGATCATTTTTCTTTTCACCTTCTTATACAACAATCATCCATTAAGTTTTAATTATCTCTTTTCATCAAGCCCTTCATCTACATTCTATCAATTGCTAGAGGCCTTTGAAGATGGAGACTGGAGATTATCTATCTATCTATCTATCTATCTATCTATCTATCTATCTACTTTGGGCCATACAGGTTCAGAATTGTTAACAGAAACTATGAGGCCAGCATATGCCATACACACAAAAATTCCAATTCCATCTGAATTCAAATCTTTGTATCTTCTTTGGGAATCAGGGCCAAATTTTGCCTGCAGTGTCTATATTCCTCCTAGAATGAAAACTCGATGAGATCAAAGTTTAAAAACAGCTATTTTTGTTCTCTTGGGCAAATTCAGCTTTGAAATTTAACAAAAAAAATATTGTTACATGCAGGCACTAGCCCTGAGACTTATCCAACAGCAAAAGCAAGAGTAAGAATGAGAGACAAGAGACAGGATTAGAACACAAAATCAGGCAGTTGGGATCTCTTTATATTCAAGTAATCATTGATTTACTCTAATATATTACTTGTCTTACTAAAATATAGCATTATTTTGAATTGTATTTGTTTATAGCTACTGAAGGATTGAGCTCTCCATCTGTTTCAGGCAGCTCTTGTACATGCAGTGTGGCCAAATCTGATTATTTCTCTTGCTACAGTGGTAATATGCTGTATCTTCAGAAGAAATCAATTCTAAAATGTATTCAAAGAAACTAGCTCACAAACCATGTCAAAGCGTTCAATAAGATAAAGTTTGCTGGAAATTCTTAAGATACATTAAATATGGAGGGTCGAATTAAAAGGGTAGAGCTGCTCTCATTTGAGAAGCTGTAGCAATTCAGTATCAAAGAAAAGCCCACACTAATCACTCAATAGATACATGTAGATTCACTTAAAAAATTTTTATGTATCATTTACTTAATTTTATTTCACTTCCTCTAGTCTATGTGTTCACAAGGAAATTGGTATTTGAGTACTGGCATTTGAATTTTGAGATGCTAAAAACCTGGCAAGCACAAAGTGTCTCTTATTTTAAGTATGACTCGAGTGTCTCATACACAGTTAGCTGTCACTGTAAGCTTTACTTTTCAGGCAGAGTGTAAGCAGCTAATTTGTGGGGGTTTTTTTGAAGGTGATCATGATGCCCTATGACTTATGCTGGTTTGCTTTATCATAAGCAAGATAATACAATGAGCTTTTAAGCCTCACAGCTGGGTATTGTTTGGCATCTATACAACCTGTTTCATCCAAACCAAATTCCTTTCCTTAATCCATTCATCTGGTTAGGGAACTTGCTTGGCATGATTTCCACTGCAAGTAATAAATACAGTAATTCCTAAAGTGCTACCACTCACAGGTTAACACCCATGGTACTCGATTGCATGGACAACAGGACAGGTGCTAAGGCACAATAGAAAAAACAGAAAGATCAGGTCTGCTCACACATTTTATCACTAATTTACTCAACTATTTGCTGTTAATAAAATTCTGGAATTTGGATTCTGGCTGACATTTTCAAACTTCATTTATATGATAAAAATGATTTGGATGCATTAAAATTAGAGTGGCAGAGGCAATTAGAATTACTTTAAATACAGTATGAGTATTTTATTTTAGATGCCTTGCTAATGTCTCATTTGTTAGAGTTTTACACAGAGATTGGAGTCCTACCTAACATAGTTTACATGCTAAAAAACATAATACAACCATGTCTGTAGGTTAATTGTAGACTAGTGTCTTTCTTTTCTTTTTTTTTTTTTTTTTTCTCTTGGACCAATTTTAGGCTTAATGTAACATTTTAACTTACATAGGATAAGGATTATGGCTTAAAATTTACATTTTATCTTTCCAATTTACATTTTATCTGACCAATACTAGTAGCTCACCATTAAAAATCTAAATTAAAATGAAGCCAGTAGAAGAGACAAACAAGACTTTTACACTTAGGATAATTGTCTGAAAGTTGCACAAACTGACATTTTGAAACATCCCAAATAATACATTTTCTAGAAAATCCTACAAATAATGCATTTTTACTGTTTGGATACTGGAAAAGTATTTTAAAAATATATTAGGGCTCAGGATGTAGCTCAGTGGTTGAGTATATACTTAGCATGTTAGAGACCTGGCTTTGCTCTCTAGCACCATTCATAAAGTGCCTCCCATATATGGATGTATTTCTTAGTCCCTTTTCTTCAACCATGATTTTGAGTGCACTGATCCAATGTCATTTTAAATAGCAAGGTAATAAAATGTACCCATGAGAAATAACAAAAACTAGTTGTATATTACCACTGTCTGGCTTATATACATGGTACTTTCCCTTTTTTCTTTTCCCAGTGCCAGCATATAACAGCAGATACAAGTTGAGAGGCAGCATCAGGCATTTTTAAGCAACATGCACAGTGGTTCCAATTATTTTAAGGTAGTATGGGCTCATGGATAATTGCTTACACATTTACTTATTCCTAATTTGGGTCTCACTATTCCTAAGTAGCTTCATCATGCCCCCTCTGAGCAGACCCTTTGGTACCCCTGGGCTAGATCAGACATTCAAAGTCATCTATTTACTAGTGAGTTGTTACCATTAGCAATCTGCAATGGCTGTCACAGAGCTGTGTGATCAGCAGGTGGTATTCTGCATGACCAGGGTTGCTAGAGAGATAACACAAAAATAATCTTCTGGGAAAAATAAAAGAAAATATGTAATGAAATCGGTACTCTAAAAAAATATGTGTTCAAGTAAGCCTAAAAGCACATTTATTATACCTCTGTTCTAAAAAGTATATATAATCATTTTATTAGCAGTTGATGACTTGAAACCAAGACTGTCTGTTACAGTTATAGTATACACAAAATTATAGATGTTGGGAGATTTCTCTGTTGTTCTACCAGAGACTATCAAACCTCTTTACTTAAAGGCCAGTATATCCCCAGGCAAATTGAGTTTCCATGCTCAGTTGATTCAGAGCCTATTTCAAGCAAAGGCTGCCAACTATGTCAAAATGTATACTGATTTTGTGATATACATAGTTTTCCAAAGGACGAAGTAAGATCGCCAGTCTCAATCCATTTCTGACTTAGATTTAAAGTTGCCCTCAAGAAATAGCTGCCTAGTAGATATGTGTACTGGAATATTTTTCACTGAGATAGGTTTTCCTTATCCTTCAGTTTTCTGATCACAAGTCACTAAAATTATCATGAAAAATTGGAAAAAAAATATGTCCTATTACTGAAAGAATTCATTACATTAGTGTAAGGCAAAACAGCCTACTTATAATCAACAGTACCATTTTGAGTAATTTGTTCTTTTTGACATTTTCTAAAAGAATAGCTCTACTTACAACATTAATGCTAAATAGATGGAAAGTATGAAGTGTACGAATACAGTATAGACAAATTGCATTTTAATTCCTATTTTTCTTTAAAAAGATGTCAAAGATAAATTTAAATGTGGTTTTAAATACACACTTTGCTTCAAATGTTTAGGAAATGATGCCTAACAGAGAAAAATAAAGTCATTAATTTTCCATTTGCATAACTTGCCCTTGAACTTTATTTGACTCTTCTCACTTGCTTTTGCAATATGATGTCCAAATTCTCAGTTTAAAGAATAGAGTCCTGAGGTTTTATTGCCCACTTTTAGGGTACAGGTCTCTTAAAAATCTATTTTATAGTGACAATTTAAGCATATATTTAAGTAATATATGATTCATATGTATTATCTATCCAAACTCCATTTAT